AGAAAACAGGTATGGGCATGAGACATTTTGAGCGCAACTTCCCCTACCGTTCCTGTCCTCTCCCTTCTTGATCCGATCCGGAGATCGGAAGGAGCCACTGGGGGGCACCAGCAGGTCCTCCTTTCGTCTACTGGCCCCTTGCAAAGCCCTCACCTCAAAATTGCCCACCCTCCCAAACGACCACCGATGTCAAAAGTTGAATTGACGTTGAAAGTCTCAAGGGCATAAAATGCAACCCTGACAGGCTGCGAACTGGCCTCTGTCATCTTTTCAATACACCCCCCCTGGCCGGTGGGCCCGATTCCTCCATCTCTGACCTCGACATCCTCCTGGCCGGTGGGCCCGATTCCTCCATCTCTGACCTCGACATCCTCCCTCACCATTCCTCTAAGGTCTCCTCCCTCTGTGTGTGTGTGTGTTTCATTTTGCGCATCAAACTTCCGTGACCATACCGCAGGGTTTTGAGTTGAAAGGTATAAACAACACATGAAAGGAGCCTGCTGCCTGGTATGCCCATGAGACAAACGCACAAAAGTCATGCAAAGGCCAGAAAAGCAACAGAAGACAATAAAGCAAAGGGCGGAAAGCAACAAGGTATCGGACAAGTCGTGGGCAGCAAGGGACACAGGCTGGAGGGCATGGGGGAGGCGGCCTGGCAGACAAACAACACAAACTTTAAGCAGCAAGGCACGAAAGACAGTGAAGTAAAAGACATATTGCCACGCCACACCAACGTCGAAACACGAGCACCAACATCAAAACACGAGTCTTCAACATCTCTTCTCTTCGCCACACAGACTGTAGAAGAGAAAATGTCAAAACCACTTTGACAATTGTCAGAAAAATGGTTTCGACATTGGTGTGAAACAGCCTGCCTGCAGCGGCCTGAAAGTCCGCACCTTGTTTCCGAGGTGGTGAAAGTTGCCCACTCTCAGTGTTCTGTGGCCTCAATATCTCGTGTCTTCCTCTTCTTCTTCTTCTTCTTCTTTTTTTTTTTTTTTTTTTTTTTTAAATCAGGTCCTTATGGCCCTGGCTCCGCTCCATTCTGGGGAGCAGCAGTCCGGTTCCTATTCCACCGGCAAGTCAGGACAAAGTATTGCATCATTAAACACACTCAACGCTTCCTTCCGTCTGGCCGAAGGAACCCTGATCAGCATTGATTGCTCCAGCAACCTGGAGGATTGACCGTCAGCTTGCCTTACTTCCGCCTTCCCTCTCAGCTCCACTGTACGGACCTGCCAGATAAGTGATAAGGACAAGAAAAGCGGAAGAATTGCAGGAGGTGAAAGGAGGCCTATTCTTCAGAGTTTTTCAACTCCTCCCCTTTCCTCAACCCGCTCTCTTGTACCACTACTGTTTTCCTGATTTATCTCTTGCCTTAACCCCTAAACCCTAATGCGTCTTTATCTTTAACCGCATGACTATTGACACAAGCTATGATTCCTCTCTGGGGCCACTACGCCGCGTGTATGTCTACTCTACTGCTCTGTGATCTCGCTGATTCCAGCGAAGCAAGATCTGTTGCTGTGTCTCTCTGTGAACAATCTTCTCTTCTCTTCCAAACCAGTCTTGGAGGGTCTCCTTCCACGGTGCCGAGTTTACCCATTCCAAGCCTGTTTTTGATAAATTTCTCTATGATTGCCTGCTTTCTTGGTGGGTCTTCTTTGATATTCTTGACTGCCCGGTTCCAATCCGCTTGATATTCCTGCCTTAAAAGTTGTAAAACATGCTCCCAGGCCTCCTGGGTCGATGTTTTTTGGCCATCTATCGTCTGTTTGCATCGTGTCTTCCATATGATCCACAGAGTAAGAGGGCGAAGTTTACGGAAGAGGGTCCGCTGCCAGGGCTCATTGTGATTTGGTTGCTCCATGCCCGTTAAGAGTGTGAGCCGGTTGTCTGGTAATAGAGCTCCAACCGCTGCCAGCCAGAACTCCCGTGTTTTATTCCAGATCCGATGTGCATTTCGACAGTTTAGCAGGCAGTGCTGCATATCTTCTAGTGTTCCTTCCTCGCAGACCGCGCAACTGTCGTCAAAGTCCCTTCTAGCGATTTCTGCCCTTTTCCTGCTGAGCCATGTGTTAACTGGCAGTGCATGATAATAGATGAGCCATTGCATACTTCTTATGCGGGTATTTCTAATGGCGAGAGGTATCTGCCAATTGAACTTTTCGGTGTTGCCCAGGCAGCCCGAGGTGTGCTTCTCCCAGCGTTGGACTAGAACGATATCCGTGTTCACCGATCTGCGTCTGAGTTTGTAGCCAAAGCTGGTGGAATAGTCCAGGATGTTGGTGCGCTTCTGTGTCCCCAACGGTGTGGATCTTGTCTTCCATGCCCAWTCCACTGGGYCAAACTCCAGATCCTGCAAGGGTATTCCGGGTTGATAAGCTCTGTAATCGTCATCCTYGATCACTCTGATTTTCCTGAGGAGGCCGGTTCTAGCYGTGACTTGGGCCCGGAATGATTTCGAGACCCTGCTSAGGTTGGACCYCGGYTGTTCGAYGTCGTGTATGGACCATAATCCCCAGTCTCCCTCCGATCCTGTCGACTTGACATAGACCAATGCCTCCGAGGGGGTGTGTTCTGATTCCCACGTGGCCCACTCTCCTGCTRCCCAGGCTGRRGGRGCTTGTAGRARCGTCTTCCAGTCCTGCGGTATGGATTGTACCATCGCCTGCAGGTTAGTTTGTAGGTTATGACATCCCTTGAGGGAATCTCTGAGCTCTGCGGCTGTCTTCCAGCGATTGCTTTGGTGGTTCCAGATGTGTTTGAGTTGCCAAACACCTCGTTCCAGCCACAAAACGTTGCTTATCCCGGGTTTTCGACATTCGGTGTGATGAAGGCGGCCCTTGTGTCAAAACCATGAATGTCGAAAATGGTATGCCAGTTGTCAAATATTTCACGGTTGCGACATTGGTGTGGCAAGGCCCACAGGCTGGAGGGCATGGGGGAGGTGGGTGGGCAGACAAACAACACAAGGTAGTGAGCCAAAAAGCAGCAAAACAGAAGAACAGCATTAAAAAAAATGCAAGTTTCAAACAACGAAAAAGCAGGGGGGGGAAAAAAACACCTGGTGATGAAAGAGTTGTACCAACTCAGCAGGAGGCTGAACCCTCGACAAGCTGTGGAATCTACATATTGCTGGTTCGGGTCATAAACCCTTTGACCCATGTCGAAGGCAGACTGTCCCCAAGCGCAACATAGCAGTGGGCAGCAACTCAGCGAAGCACCAGGCAACGCTGCCGAGGCAGCATGACTGCAGAACACCAAAAACAACTGCAAAGAAAGACAGGGCAAGCAGACAAGCAGCACGCCAACAGTGCAGTGAAGCACAAGGCAATATCAACAAGGCGGCCAAACTACGCAGCACACAAGCATAGACGCGGAATGCACGGCATGTGGATGGGCGGCAGGGCAGCAGAGCAGCGAGGTGCAAGGAAACACAGTGAACACAGCAGCTTGCAGAGAGTGACATGCGAAGCAAGCAGGATAAGCAGCAAGGCAGCGGCGGAGCGCAGACAAGGGAGTCTACACATCCAACACGGAGCAAAGCGGCACATCACTTACTCACATCATGGTTGGAACCCACAGACTCTTGGTTCCCACCACCCACTGAGCCAGGGAGTCGCTCCTACAAACATCCGTCATCACCTGTAGGGCGGACAGACATCCCAAACTGAAAAAAAGTACACTTTCGAAGGGACCTGGTAGAATTGTCCTGGAACTCCGGTAGTAGGCCTGGCAAGGTCCAGTAAAAGGCTCAGTATCTTCCAGATAGGCCATAATGGTTCCGGGCTCGAATGTAGTTAGGTACGAGTTTAGGTTCATGCGCTGCAGGTAATTGCAGGTTGCAATGGTGTTCCCTCCAAAGGGTAGGAACTTCCAGTAGGTCCCATTGTACCGGGGGGATAGATGAGATTATCCTTCTTTGGAGTGGTGTATAACCTACCGAGTATTCAATATAACTCACCAATATGACTCGTGCCTCGGTAACAACGATCAACAGGCGATGATCCATAAGTACGTCCAAGGGTAGCAACACGATCAGCAGGCGATGATCCATAATCCATGGAACAGCAGACGATGGGCAAGCAAGCACTCCCACAAATAATAAAGCACATTCCCACAAACAAATAATTAAGCATCCACCATGCCACCCGCGTACCGTAGGAATTTTTTTCTGCGACTCGCTCCAAGATGCGCGGTTGTGAGCCAACAGGCCTAGCCGCCTAGGTCAGTTGGTAAACCCACGAACTGTTGAAATGCGGACCGGAGTTCGAATCCAGATGCATAAAGATGATGGATTGTGTTAACCAGGGAGTGTGCGTTGTCAAATTGTCGCCATTTTGTGAAAATGGCTTGGTCATTCTCAGCAGTAGGTTGAGCAACATAATTGGTTGAATGACGAGATCCTTTAAATTCCACACTGAACCAGAAGCACACGTGGTTAACGGGGACCCCCAGTTTCAGCTCCTGACTAACAGGTCCAAAACTGAAATTAGGGTTTGGGGGTCAAATTTCATGTTTTTTTCCTTCTTTTTTTTTTTTGCCTGTTTTTGTTTTGGTTCAAGGTTGTTGTGTAGCGAATTTGGTCTCATTTGGAGCATTGGAATTTCCTCTGCTACGATTTTTGAAATTTCTCAAGATTTCTGAAACTGAATGTTCGCGAAATTTGCATGAAAGTGCACTTTTGCCTTGCTGTTTTATAGTGTTTTATAGTCTTTTTTTTTCCGGTTTTTTTTTTGCAGTTAGTAACTATGGTCTCTACTGTATGACTTGGTGGCAGGTTTGGTTAAAATGACCCCATGGGTTTTGTTATAAATGGCATGACAAGTTGTCTGAAAATTAGGGTCTCCATTAACCACCTCTCACCAGAAGCACCAGAAGGGGACCAAGAGCTTGGCCAGTGTGATGAACTTCCTCTCTTTCCTCCCTCCCCTGAACTTATTGTCTCACTATCAAACACTCCTCCTTCTCCTCTTTCATGCGTATATCTGATAGAGCTCAGTCAGTGATCTGAAGCTATTGGCTCATCACTAAATATTGCTTGGCCTAAACATCAAGCACAGACACAACCCATAAGAAACAAATACGAAGAGATACATTCGTATAATTGTACAGTGGAGGCAATGACTGTTTCTGACCAGGCAAGCACTCAATTCCTACAGTGTTAAATTTGGGTCTCAACGAGCTGTTGAGGTTGGCCTTCATCATCGGTCTCTGCTGGCTGTAACTGAGACAGTTGAAGGTGCAGTTGTTCCCAAGTCGACAGCGGTCAGATTCACCTTCATCACTGGTCTCTGTTGGACCCACATCCACCTCCCTCACCAGACGGGACAGATTCATCTTGCCCGTCTTGTCTGTCGGTTGAGTTCTCTATGCAGCTGTATCTCCACCATCGTCATGCATCGGGATTCGAACTCAGGTCCGTATTTTCAACAGGGTGTGTCTTTGAAATACTGACCTGACTTTGAAGTTGATGGATTTTGTCAAAATCCCATCTTTGTCGGTTGAGTTCTCTATGCAGCTGTATCTCCACCTGACTCTAGCATTCTCGTGTGTGTGACGTCACGTGTGGTCATGCACCCACGCAAGAGGGTTTGCATGTGTTCTCACAAGATGCTGCTAAATGGTCCCCAAGGAGCTGGAAGTGCCCAGACACACCCCTACACACCCCTACACACCCCTAGACGCTTGCTGTCTCCTGCACAACAAAGCTCCAGCACGAAAGGGCCACCTTCATGTTACATACGCTCTCAATCCACTAAGAACACTCTACATGCATTTGGACTACTTTCTCCACCCAATACGTTCTGACCGTTGAGCTCGTCCGGACGCGCCTGGTCCAGAAAGCGTCCAAATGCATGTAGAGTGTTGTGTAGTGGAGCGAGGCGCATAATCAAGGCAGCCGTCAGGCTGTTGTGTAAGACCACAAAAGGAATGAACGACAATGAATTACCAAGCATGACACCCACCTCAAAATGGGCATCATCTCCACATGCAACCGGAGGGGGCAGCTCTGCCAGTGAATTTGAAGACAGTTTCTGACATCCAAACAGCATGCATCCGTAGCCGCTGTGTGAGCCAGGTGCGTCTGTGTGCCGGCCAAAGCAGTACTGCCCAAAACACACAGGTTCTCTCCCATTTGCCCCATGAACCCCAGCGAGCACCAGGCCAAAGGAGCCGTCTAAAGTCCACACCCTCTACAAGTTGCACACACAATACGAGGACTCTGAATCTGTTCCCAGAAGGTCGATACTGCACACCTATCACCTGTCCTATTCCACGTCGATACTGCACACCTATCACCTGTCCTATTCCACGTGCGCATCAGCCACTGGCATGGCTGGGCGATAAACCCCCTCTCCCAGAATCCAGTTGGCAGCACAGCAACGCCAACAGCAGCTTAAGAGAGAGACCCTGTCTTCAGTAACAGAGCATGTGTGTTGCGAAGAAACGACCACCATAAACAATCGGATACAAGACAATGTACAGATGGGGGGGGGGAGGGGGAGGGGGAGGGGGGAGAAGGAAAAAGAGTACAATGTGCTTTTGTCTGTGTGGAGATCTGAGCCAAATTGAGCAAAAGAAGCCAGTTCACGGTATAATAATCGTGCAAGTTGTAGTTTAAGGGCATACTGACACTAGCACTTTCCTCAAGGTATCTGACTACGATTACGGCCAGACCTGGATGAATCTGGGCCCAACGCTGTCCAGAGCTTAACAGGAACAGTTCTAGTGTGAGTATGGCCTAAGACTACCGGACACTTGTGGGAGTGGCCGTGTGTGGTGGTGTGGAGCAAAGCTGTAGCTTCAAGCAGGGGAAGGAGTTCGGTTAGGACAGGGAACACGGGCGAGACTCGGCAAGGACCCTGAAGACATTCATTCAGATGTAGAAGTCTCCCTGCTTGCTGGATGCCTTGAGGTCCTTTAGTTTCTTGAGGATCTGCTGATAGTACTCCCTCAAATATGCCTCCAGGGTAGTCGTTTCATTCGGGTCCATGTTCAGCAGGCTGTACACATCGCCCATCGGTGCCGAGAAGACAGCATCGCTGGACAGGACCTCAGAGAATGCCAGGCGGTCGGCGGCATCTCTGGACCATTGGAACAACCGGATAAGTTGTCGGGTAATCTTCAGGATGGACACGGGTACGGTTGTGACCTTGGCATCTTGGCCGGCCAGTCTCTCGCAGAGGGCAATGACCTCCTGGGTGGTCCACGCCCTGGGTCCCGCCAGCGTGAGCGTCTTCCCCACTGTCTTCTCAGACCGCAATGCAGACATCGTCATCCGCGCAATGTCTTGCGTGTCCATGTATGACACTCTCGTGGAGGCATCCGTGCCCCACACCGACTTCTCTTCGAGAATAGGGACAGCATACTGACCAATCAACCCTTGCATAAATCCACACAGTCTAAGGACGCTGTACTGTAGGCCAGACTGTGCCAAGTACTTCTCCGTACAGCGTTTGATCTCCATCAACGGCACCTCAGGATGCTTGTCACAATTGTGAATCGAGAAGAAGATGAACCGCTGAATACCCATAGCCTTCGCACACTGGATGAGAGCCACCTTCCCATCCCAGTCCACAGTGCGTATGGGTTCTTCCGGCCGACCAGTGGCACAGTCGATGACTGTGTGAATTCCCACAAGCGCCGGTGCCAAAGTCTCTGGCTTGCTGAGGTCCCCACTCACTGTGGTGGCTCCCCAGTCTCGTAGGAAGTCTGCTGGTGTTTGCCGTGTCCGTACGAGGCACCGGACATCGTAGCCTTCATCCAATGCTCGGCGCACGATCTGCCGGCCTAACGTACCAGTCGCACCAACAACCAAGATGCTGGTCTTTCGAACAGGAGTGCCGCTGAAAGCAGCCGCTGCACTCGGGCTCATCTCAGCAGTAACCACTCTCCTAACACCCCCCGCTTCTCTGTGCTTCCACGGCTCAGTTGGTGCAGAGTGGGATGTAGATGCGGATGACTTTTCCCTGAACACACCGAAGTGGCTGCCAGGGTACGAATGACGATCCCTCCTCCCGCTGCAACTGCTGGGAAGGAGTCGTTCGCCCAGGAAAGTGCTGCTACTCCTGCAGCTCATTCCAGACTTGCTGGGGGCTGCTGACACCCCCAGATTCTGCAAGCATCCAGCTGGCTCATCTCCCACAGAGGTTAGACGTTCAGGAGTGCACCGAGGCTGCGTAACAGCCACCGCAGCTATGGACGTGCTTGCTGCCATCACCAACGCCATAGTTGGGAAGCTTCCCGATCAGAGAAATTGATTGCCCCAAAGCACAAGGGAGCGGTTCCCTCGGGATCGACCGGGAGAGAGAGAGAGAGAGAGAGAGAGAGAGAGAGAGAGAG